CGACGAGGTAATGCGGGGATCCCATTGGTCGGGGCCGGCGGCGCCCCCGGAGCCGGAGAGGGCGCGATCCAGGCTATAACTCCGTGCACCGACCTCGCTGCGGTGCAGCGTAGCTCTGAACCTTTCAGCTGTAGGGAGCTGCGGATCTGCCGTGTCCTTCAGGCTTGTGCCGTGCTGCCGAGGACAGCGAGAGAGAGGGAGATTGAGGGGAACAGTGTGAGGAGGGAGTCAGTCAGTCAGTCGGCTGCTAAGAAGCGAGCGGACGAAATAGCGGCTGCACTCCCGCTCCGCAGAAGTGAGGAGGCAACCTCAGAGAGGGGCAGCATGACGGCGTGGCTGAGCTTCCTCGTCGCCTTCCTCTGCAGCTGGAGCCTGCGGGATTTGGTGGTGGAGGCTTGCACTTGCGTCCCCATCCACCCGCAGGACGCTTTCTGCAACTCCGATATCGGTAAGTGCCGCGGGGCGGCGGCGCCTCCTCGCCCTTCAGCTGTCCCGGGGCAAAGCGACCCCGCCGGGGCTGGGAGGGCTCCCCTGGGGAGTGGTGGGGGGAATCCAAGGCGCTTTGCGTGGGGAGGTGGCAGCTGCCCCACCGGTGCGAAACCCGCGCCTCTAGAAAGTTCTGCGGGACCCCCGAGAGGGTGCGGGCAGCAGCTGGGCTGTCACCACAAGTAAAGCCTCTTCAAAAATCCCAGGCGGTGCCTACTTTTAACATACCAGTAGTTGCAAGAGTGGCTTGTTTCCTACAGCAAGACAGAAACAAGTTTGGAAGTGTGGGCAGCCAAAATTTTCTCCACCAACCTGGTGACAAATGATGGGAGACAGGATTAGGGCGAGCCCTTTCAAGCTGCCCGTGTTGGAAGGTGCGGCTCACATAGGCTTGCCGTGCTGTGTCGATGGGCTGGAGAAGCAGGTAACAAGTGTCTCCATGCTATATGGCGATTTTACAGCTGTGCGAGGTGTGCTAACATGCATGCTTTTTTTGAAAGTTGAAACACTTGTTGGATCCTTGCTGATGTTCTCTGCTATGAGTTTTAGCATCCCTAAGGGTCTTCACTGCAAACGTGAGGTGGGGGGACAAGGGGAGCACCCACAGGCTCTCAGAGAAAGAGGTAATGGAGACTCCGGACTCAAATTCTTTGGTTGGTTTGTAGCCATGGGTGGTTAACCAAGTACGGTTGCGGATTGGTAAGGGTCTTGTGGTAAAATGAAATTGATTTAATGCTAGACGCGTGTCCGCATAACAGTAAATACAGGCTGTCACTTCAGCAGTCATGAGTCGACTGCATGAATTAGGTCTTCTCGCACCTCTGTGGATTGTCTTAGTAGCACAGTGTAAAAGGGATTGGAGGACTTTGTATGGTTGGTACCCACACAGTACTGACTCCAATTGGAGTCTGCAAAGGAATCCTCCTGGCAACTGCTATGGAAGTCAAATAGAAAATAATTCTCACTGCAGCAGAACACCCATTGCTATAAACCTTGCTAGTGGCTCTTTCAAGTTAGCCAAGCTTACTGGCAAAAAAAAAGTCTTGCCTTTAACTCCTCTACGGAAACTGCAGTTAAGCCTGGATATTAATGTCTAGTTTATATAGTGTATCTGCTCTTGAATGCCAAAAAAAAATATTACATGCTGAAAGTGCTGGGAGGGTTACAGCTTGCTTCAATGATGATAGCCTGGAAAATATTTATAAAATAGTTTTATGCTGGGGAATTCTTCCAGGAAATTGCTATATTCAAAGTTCTGTTGCCGTTTTCATAGCTTGGATCAATAAGTGTGCCACCTAAGTGGCAACTGCCAGGGAGATTGTCTCAGTAAGACTGGGAAATGATTTTTCCACAGCTGAAGCTGATGACAGCACGTGGCCTTCATTAGGTGCATTTTGGGAGAAGGTCTACTTTCTTGCTCTGATGAGGTCATGTTATACTAGATTAAGGGTAGTTTTCAGTTGAATTCAACTTCTTAAAATGTTGCTAAATAAATGTTTATGAATACATACAGACAGTATATTTTTGCTAGATGCGTAAGTGACTAGGAGTATGGTAAACTCTGAAGTTTCATATAACAATGCTCCTAAACTTTAGGGCACAAAGTTCGCTACTGTGATTTCTGGTTGGGTTCAAAGTCTTCTCCTACATCTCTTCCTTTCTCTGTTTTGGACTCTCCATTACATCTCATGCCTTGGCTGTCCTCTGAGGCATAGGAATTCAAAAAGCTGATGTTAGTGGGGCTGTCATGCCTTCAGACATCTGAGCAATGCAAAGGAGGAGAAGCAGAAGAGGAAAGAGCAACTCATTCTTGTAGATGACTTGAATGCAAGTTTTGTTAGGACTGCAGTTCTGTGTGATGGGTTCAAGCAAAAGTAAATCCTTACATTTGCTAGAACTGTCTGGATAGTGTGAAGTTTCTGCAGGCTGATATTAGTAAATGCTGCCATGTTCTTCATGTGCTGAAAGAGCAAAAAGCACACTAAAGCTTTCTGGCTCTGGAGGAGTTAATCATCTCCATGGAAACTGATGGCAGTGTACTAGTGCAGTGCTTAGACAGACTAAACTACACGCTGGGTTATAAAACACATTGTGGGGAAGAAAGGGACTTGGCAGCAAGTTTTTATCGCTCTTGAAACTCTTGACAAAACACCAGCTCAAAAGGGAGGAGTCAATGCAGTAAGGGTTGGAGCAAAAGAGCTTTTCAAAATAACTCCTAAAACAATGCAAGAAATTAACTAGCTAGGTGGCAGCCTAGGAAAGGCTTTTCATCTTCAGAAGCACTGAATATTGAAGAAGGAGAAAACCTTTAGTTCAGGGGTGTAATGCAAACTCTTACTGTTGATCTTTCATGCCTAGCCAGTGAAGTCCTACTCTCAAGTTTATTCTCTTCTCCTTTAATCTGATCTCACTAGACATTTAATTTTTGATCTTCCTGTGCCTTGGTTCTGATACAGCCTCCTAACTCTGCCGTCATTAGAAGGTTTTAATCTTTCCAGCACAGATGCTCAAATAAACCCATTGGAAAGGGCAGGATTTCAATATGTACATCCTTTGAAAGTGAAGGGTGTGGGTTTGTAAATGAAGCTTAGACTCCATACACAACAATTTTTTTTCCTTATTAAAAATAGGAGGTGGAGTGGAAGATAAACTACTGCCAAACTGGTTACAAGGGGTCTTTTCACTAAGCCTCAGTGTTCCAGCACGATGAATGGAGCAAAAGTGAAGAGGTGTGTCTCATCTGGCCCTCTGAGGTCAATCAATATTAAAATTGCTGTTTTCACTCCTGGCTTGCTTGCTTGAACTGGATCGATAAGTGCCAGAACAGGCAGTACAATAATGAGACAAACGGCAAGACAGACGGCAACTGCTATGACTTGCCATCTGAACTTTGCTTCCTCCACTCCTGCCCCCTGCCTGCAACCCCTTCCAGATGTGAATATTTTTCTTTTGTTTGAATTAAGAGACCTTTTAAAGAACAGACACCAGGCATGCTTTGTTCCATTGTGACAAAGCTGTGACATTTCCAGCTGGACATAGCTGACATGAAAAGGGCTTGTTTGTCCTTTTTTTTGCAGGAACAGCAGGAACTTTTGAGCTTGGCTGCTGAATGTTGTATTCACAGGTTTGGAAAAACACCTCCTGCCTGGCCCCCTCTGCCCCACCTCCCCTTCAGAAAAAAAATAGAGAGAGAAATAGATTAAATTGCAGGCTGGATTTTCACAAACCAATCTGCAAGTGATAAAGAAAGTATTTTGTCCACTCTACACCTATCTTGCTTTCATCTTGTGCATGCACTTCAGAAAAGAGCTATGGCACTACCAGCTGTCTCTTACCCAAGTTCAAAGGAGCTTGAAGTAACATTCCTTTCTATGATTTGTGTTGGAGGAAGAACTATCTGTTTCAGCAAGGATGCTGGTGGGTAGTGACTCTTTCTGCTCTAAATAACCTCACTCTTGGTGAGTTGGAGTTGGCAAGCTTTGGGGAGATGAAGGTAAGCTCTTAGCATCCCTCCGTGCTAATGAAGCCATTCATTCTTCCACCCTGCCATAGCTGTAGCGCTTAGCTCGCACCACCTGCAGTGTACAGCCTCCTTTGAACTGAGAATGGTGTGATATGAGAAGAGCAAGAAGCAGCAGAGAATGAGGAAGTTCATAAATTTGTTAGGCCAGAAGACTAAGCCCCTAATTGAAAACCTGCCCTTTCACTGGTTTTCTTGATTTGATCATTCCACCTTCTCACCAATAGGTTTAGAGGGATATGCAGAAGAACTTGATCATACAGATTTTGAATATGCCTTCTTTGCCTTGACATGAACTCTCTAGTGAGGTTACATGTGCTGTTTTATCCTTTCAGGCAGACAAGTAAGGTCTGCCAAATTAGTTTCAAAGTTAAAATAAAACAGCTGCAATTAATTATTATACCAGTCTTTTGAGCTGACATTTATTTAAAACAAATTTTTGGGTTATATGTCATGATAACAGTTACAGAAGTATTGTATCCACTTTGGAATCAGACTCTTGTTCAGGAAGTAATGATGTGGTTTCATTTTGGACTGAACTTCCCTTCAAGGCATTTTAGAAGCAGGAAGTCTGAGAAGCATCCTATAAAGCTTTTTTTTAAAAAAAAAAAAAAAAAAAAAACCCAAAAAACTGTGAATTTAATTTTACGTTGGAAGAAATTGAGGAGATTTGTTTAACTTTTATGGAATTCCAATGTCCATGGTAAAAACTGTGGTGAAAGAGGGTGTTCCTTGTGCCTGATCTTATCTTCTGACAGAAAGATGGCCATTCTAAACTGAATTGTCCTGTTTAATAGAAGTGGAAATAGAAGTTGGTTATTTGCTGTTTTTGTTGGTTATTTGCTGTTTTTGTTGGTTATTTGCTGTTTTTGTTGGTTATTTGCTGTTTTTGTTGGTTATTTGCTGTTTTTGTTGGTTATTTGCAATTGAAGTCCATAGCAGAGCAGAGAGATCACCTTTTGGGATCTGGAGTTTGTAACTTCTCCAAATGTATGTATTAAAAAAATGTGGTGAAAGTTAGTGTTCGGAAGATGTAGGGCAGAATGTTATATAAGGCTCCTTTGGTATCTTGTTACTATTGCATCTGCTTACTCCAGATTTCCTCCAGGAAGTAACTGCAGCAGGACCTCTGGGCCAGCAGAGAGCCAGATGTTCTAACCTTGAGTCTTAGAGCTCCTTGCTTTATGTAGACATTTCTTTCCTTCTGATTTTCACTGATTTCCCACCTGTTCTTGAGAACTCTCCACCTGCCTACTGCTCCCCTACTGTTTCTGGGAAGAAGTCGGCTGGTGGGAGAATAGGTCTGTATTGCCGTATGCAGTATTAGTGTGTTTTAGTTTAGCAAAAGTTTCCATCTGGGGGCTGAAAGGGCCTACTTTGTTCACATCTGTTATTTGGGATGAGCAGATTTGATTGATTGACCATACAAGCGACACAAGGTG